TAAGTAAAAGGAAATGACGTAAATACGTTGAAATACTTTTCTGAATACATAATAACGTTACATTATCTGTGCTCAGTTTTCTCGCTTGTTATTATCCTGAATGAACTGGAAATATTTATTTCATATTCCAATGTCGTTCGTTTTGTTCGCCACATCGTATTTGTGGTGTTCTTATACATTTGGAATTACTACCCATTGTTAGCTGTTGTGTTGGTCTTGTTACTTATTTGAGAATAGCTTGTTATTTTAAGACTTGATATGTAGTCAATTTTATTCTTGTATTTTATTATTGTAAATCCATACTTAAGAAAATATTACATTTCGTCCGAGTCGTAAATCATAGAGAACTGAAGTTCCGATAGTGGCTATTGTATTAACGATACTGGTAATCAATGTAATGACATTAATTGTATTTTGAGAACCAAGATATTATCGTCATCATCAACCCGACTACGTACATAATTTAACAAAGCGTTCTCTTTCAATTTGCCATTCCTTATATGGCAGTATCCTTGACTTATATCAAACTAGCGACCCCCGCCCTCTCGCACGGGTGCAATATACATGTATTATACATATAAACCTTCCTTAAGAATCACTCTATCTATTAAAAAAAACTGCATCAATATCCGTTGCGTAGTTTCAAAGATTTAAGCATACAAAGGGACATAGGGACAGAGAAAACGACTATGTAGTGATGAAGCTTGGGTCAGTAAATATTTTGGAAATTCCGTGTCACGTGTGGATGTGGACGTGTTCTAATGTCCTATAGGCCTATTCAGGTCCCTTGACCTATAAATCATTAGATATACATATATAAACATAAATATTAGTTATACAATACAACAATAACACATGAATTTTGGTTAATAACAAAGCTACAGAATGAGATTAATGTTTCGTCCATGTTAATTAGTTTCGACTAATCAATTTATGTTCGTGCGGTTGGCTGCAATGAGTTATGATTTCTCATTTTGTATGCTCATAGTATTAGTTAATATGCAGAAATCTATTTGTCAACAGTGCATAATTTGTTCATTATGGAATTCATAAAAATAGCTACTTAGATTAGATTTTCTTCTGTCCAATATTTGTTGAGGAAAATCCTTTTCTTGTGTTTATTGGAAAAGAATGGAGTTCTCAAGTAGAAAATTCGATGAGAGAAGTATTACGTGCTTGCTGCACGGCCTTAGTTCGCCGGCGTCTGAGAAAATAGTGCCCCAGAGACCTGTCCGGTTCACTTTTCTTAACTTTCTTGACTCTTCTTTTTATTTTCTAAAAAGTCATTCAACTGACACGGTTCCCTGGCATATATCTTTATTGTAAAGTTTATTCTGAACACGTTGCACACCAACATTCACGAAATTTTACTGAATAAAGTATATTTTACTAGCTGACCCGGCAAACCACCTAAGATGTTTTTTCTCACCTTTTAAATCTTCCCTGGACTTCCACGAACATTTCAAGACCAAAATTAGCCAAATCGGTTCAGCCGTTTTTGAATTTTAGCGAGACTAACGAACGGAAATTAATTTTTATTTAATTTTATATAGATGAAAAAAATAGACCAATGAGGTACTAAAAAATTTGTATCTGTTTACTCTCCAAAGTGTATGTAGATTCATATAAAAAGGAACCAGCGAGAAATTCCAAAACACAGGAAGTCACTCTCGTTTCCTAGTTGTTCCTACAGAAATGGCGGAATCATTGTGTTTATTAGTGCATAGCTTTGACAGAGTACATTCGGACGCGACGGGCCCACGACCACAGCAGTCCATTCCCTGTCTAACTGACATTATTTGTAAACCACATGCAGCAACCACTCAATCAGAATGCGTATAGAACGACATCTATAGTACGATGTAACAAAGCTCATTTGTAGATACAATTTAATAAACTTTTATACAATGTTCATCAACATTACGACTTAACAATAATTATGTGAATAGTTTATTCAATATCTCTCAATTTAAAAAAAATGGTATCACAACAGAACGAATGGAGCTGAAGTTGCGAATGAAAGTTATACTTAAAGTTTATTGGTTTCAACACAGTGGGCAGAGGTTTTCACAACTGCTGATATTAGCGGAATTTGAAGTATGTTTTTTTTATAGCCTAAGCCGGTAAGCGAGCAGACGGATCACCTGATGATAAGCAATCGGCGTTGCCCATGATCACCTGGAACATCAGAGGCGTTACAATTGCGTTACCGGCCTTTTGGGGATTAGGAGTTTGAGGATCGTTGAGGATTCAGGAATTGGCGAAATTGGGGAAGGGGAGGGCAATTGGGCCTCCGGTAACCTCACTCACACGACGAAACACAACGCAAGTTTGCTTCAAGTCGGTTTTCTGTGAGGCCGTGGTATCACTCCGGTCGAGCCGGCCCATTCGTGTCGAAGCATAGTTCTCCCACACTTATACATGTTTTTCATTTTACAAGCCTTTTAGATTGAGATTATTTCATAGCTGTGCATAAACACCGAAGTATTTGCTCAATAGGGAATGAAACCCAGAAAACAAGAGACGTATTCAAAGAAAATTCTGAAACATGAATAACATTAATTTAAAAATAAATGCTCCACCGCGGCTCTAGCATACATTTGCCTTGAAAGCAACATTTTATAAAGTCAAGTAGCTCATTAACTGCCATACATAAAGAAAAACAAGTTAAAACATCAAAGATATGCAGTTTATGAAAGTAAAGGCATTCAATGTTTCTTTGCTGCTGGAAAGGTGACGGGTCGAGGACAATTGAGCATTGGTATGTTCATTAAGACATAGTATACTAAGTTAAGGAAACATATCTAAAAGTAATATCTAACGCTAAACCTTTTTTATTCATATTCGTAAATACATTGATCCTATTTTGAAGTTAGTCTTTTATTTTATTTTTTTAAATCGTTGCCCCACTCTCGGATTTTCTCCTGTGTCGTGGGTGCGTTTACAAACATACAAGTTCACATACACATTACACCCACACCCGAAACAACAATTTGTGGATCACACAAAGAGTTGCTCCCTGTCGGAATCGAACCCGCTACATGTAAGTGGCAGCCGGTTACCCAGCCACCGCGCCAACCATGCAGTCAAGTCACATTGTGATGTATGTTAATAAATTGCACGAATTCATTGACAACCCAAACTTACAACGAGATTATATAATTTACTTTCGAGTATTTTAAAAGAAAATCTCACATCTCAAATGAAGTACCAACGAAAAAATTCGTTTTGATAACCTTACTTGTTTGCTTGAACCGCTAAATAGTTACGGTTCAGAACGATATTATAGTCTTCCGAAATCCAATTCATAGTCCAGTAGTGGAATGTTACGAGCTGTTGATTATGACTATGTATACCACCTAAATAATATCTGTTTGCGCTTCGAGCCGCTCGCGTAACCGACCGTCAATAAAGCATTACGTTCCTTGCTACTTACATTATCTATGCACCCCTAATGATACCGACCCACTCCACTTAATCATACACAAAGGTAAATTACTCAAACTATGCACAAACAGTAATTTGAATACTAGAGCAAACATCGGAAAAGTAAGGTAATTTTCCAAATGATACCGTGATAACCTATAAATAGGGCTTGTATTGGCTAATCATGTAATCTGTTGTCAATAACTTGGGTAGGCTGGTCAATTATCTACTTGCTTTGTAGTAAATGAAAGGACATATCTCATGGTTTGTTTGATTTTAAATTATTATAAGTAAAGACCTGTTTCATAAGAAAGGAAATCGTGATAGTTGATTGTTTGCCTACAAATAAACATCAAAGCAATATTGCCTAGTATCAAAGTTGTATGATATACACCTGAATACTCAAAGGCTACTGGATTTAAAGTTATACTTAAATATCGTGCCATCCTTGTCATTTTACAAAGAATGTGTAGAGACAGAACTATACTCAAGCGTGACTTAACTTTGAGTAACGTATTCCAACAATACTCCTTTACTTTTCGCCATTTACTATTGTAACTCAATTTCTTAATAATGCCTATTAAAAATCCTATATTTATGATCCATGATGGTTTGAATCAGCGTTACCGAAAAGCAAGCAGTGTAGTACTTAATTTTTTTAAATCAACCTCTATCTATAAAAAGGCCCTTTTGCCTAAAGTAAAAAATTCGAGGGGTGCCTAATGACTAAAAGGCCAATGCATAGGGTGTATAGATACAATACATGACAGCAGCGGATACTGCATCGCTTGGGCTAACTATACCCGCGATTATGGGGTATTCTGAAGTTGAATCCCATTGAATCGGTTACGGCGAGTGCTGATTGCGTTGAATATAGAGTTGTATCTACTTATTTCAGAAATACAAACTATATTAAATAGTTCTTAAATTGTTTCACAATCATTTTAACTATAGTACGAAATTGTCTGTTGATATTAAATCAATTCTAGTAATAAAAACTGGAAAATTAATGTAACTTTTTGTATTATTCTAATGTTTTGATATAAATATACACACTTAAAATACTGCACTAGAACGTGCATTGTTCACTGAGCCGTTTGGTATTTCTAAATGGCACATAAATTCTGCTACGAAGCCCCGTAGCCCGTAGCCCGGTGCTACAAGCGACGCGACGTAGCCTACGCTACGTATGCGGAGACGGGAACGTTTGCAATTTATGATTGCACTCAGCCGACCCGCGATCCGCTTGTTACCCACTTAGTAGCACTTACTAAATATTTTATATCTATTGCTTTCGTCAAAGATAAAAAACACAAAGATTTTGTTCATCCCTTTTTGTCACTTATTATTTTCAGGAACTTCCGAAATATTCTATTAATAGTCACAATTATGTAGGTATTAACAGGTCCAATAAAAAAAACTAGTAATTACGGCGTGGTAAAATGCCGTAAAATGTCCACTAAGCCTTTATGTAACCGGTTACATGTGAGAAACAAGAGTAAACTAGCGGTGCGCGCGAATTCCACGTTCGCGTAGATAGCAGGGGTGCAGAAATAAGTAAAGTGGTACGTTACCATGCGTGAGGATGTTGATGGTCTCGTTGTGGAAGTAGAAGAGGCTGCCGACACAGCCGGCCCAGCTCTGCAGCGGACGGTAGCCGGTCAGCACGTACGGGTTGAACTGCAGGTGCTGCGGCATGTCCCGCCAGTGCAGCAGCTGCACGCCGCCGGACTCCTCCCTCGCGCTGGCGCTGGCCCGGTTTTCCTCCGGCACGCTCTCCCCAGACACTTCAGCCCCACGCTCCTCATTATCACAGATACGCTCTAACGACTTTTTCCTCTTTTTAGGTCCTTTACCATTCACTTCTTGAATTGACATATCGAACATTTTTGTACATGTATCAGGTACACTCTTACCGTCTCTCATCTCCACAGCGTAGCAGCGCGTGTCGCGGGAGGCTGGGAAACGAATCCGTTCCTCACGTTGTGTACCCGCATGGTCCAGCGTCGGCAGAGTGACGGAACGCGGAGTTTTGTACAAATATCACAGTTACAGCATTAGTGTGGAGCGTGGGGTGTTCGCGGACGCTGGCGGTGCTAGTTTTCTGTTATTCTCTGGTGGGAGAGCGGGCCGCGGCGGCGCGGCGACTCGCGGCGGGTCGTAGGCTCGGAGGGCGGGCGCAGCGCGCGCGACTGGCCAGGCGCGCCGCACACCCCGGCTGCTCGTCTCACCCTGCTCCCCGCGCCCCGCACTTTTGCGCACTGCGCAAACCTGATCAGCTGATTCCCGCCAGAAGGTCGGCCCCTTAGCCTGTGCCCGTTCCTTGCACTTTCACTCTTTGTCCGAGTGTAACAGAATTCCCGTTTACACACGAAAGTTTATTTATAAAAAGTTAACATTTATTACACTCGATTTTTTAATATTTTTCAATAAAATCAGAATTCACAATAAAATTTTCTGTCTAAAAATAGAAATAGATACCAATTGGAGTTGCGAACTATTTGTAAAAATAATTTTTGTTTGAGTGATTTTTAGGTAGGTTTACAAGACTCTACTTTCAGTATACTTATCACCTAAATTTAATGTCTACTAAAAATTTATTCTCTACGTAAAATTAAATTGGACTGAAACTGTATAAGTTACATGTAAGAACGTTGAAAAAAAGGCGGACGTAATGTCACTTGGAAATGATTGAAGCTATGTCAAGGGTTACCAAGTTACCAGACTTAAGAAACTGACAGATGTCCTTCTGCGTGTAACTCTTTAGTAGCAAGATGTCACAAACATTGTCTCAAGAGACTGTGTCCGCCTTTTTGTCAACTTCCTTATTGCGTTTTTTTACTATGACCATAGGTATTTAAAGAGGTTACATTCAACTATTCTATCAGTGAGCGTAACACTAAATTCAATCATAAGAAAGGTAGTTTTGCATTGTTATGTTATTATAATTTACGCAAATATAGTATAGCTGTACAATTAGAACCAATAATCTTTAAAATAAATATTTTTTTAAATAACCAATAGTACCTACACAAAAACAATGAAACGTTTATGTTAATTTATTAACATTTGTACTATTTATCACGTTGAACGCCATGGGGGGCACCGGTGACCGACGCTAGCGGAGGATTTACCTTCAACAGTTTTTATTGGCAGTCAAATGCTTATACTACAACTATTTCGCCTTATTAATTGACAACATTTCATATTTGTAACGTGCTTATATCGTCGTATAAAGTAAAACCAGATGTTACCCGTATTTTTTATTTTTTCAAAATAATGTTCATGCATAAAATCCAATTTAAAGATTGGATCGGCAAAATAAACGTATCGCCTATGCTTTATTGTCGCCTCGCAAAAAAGGTATGTGTCAGACTAGAGACGCATGTCAAGAAAATACCCAGTAGGAAATCAAAGCCTAAGTGTAGATGCTATCATTTTTTAGCGCATCGCAATATCTCTGCATTTCTCTTGTTGTGAAATTGTACTACTTTTTTTGAAAGAGAGACTTTTACTTGTTTTACTCTATAATAGAATTTGGGACGAGCACCTAGCTTCTATTGTGGGACGAGTATCTAGCTTCTACTGTGGGACAGACAACAAACTGACAGACTTTATTTCTTTATTTGTTGACTTTTTACGCTTATGAAACGTAAAGTTCGTTACTTACTCTATATGGTTGAGATGAAATATCTGTATTGACTTTGGAATTTACTAGATAAAATATGTTTTTAGTTATTTGTACTTAAATGAAATATTACCTTTTCGTTTGGCCCATCTCTAGACATGACATCGTCAAAAATATTCAAAACTCATTTACAAAGTTGTTATTATTTATTCTCAATTAATTTCCTATGAGTTGACAAAAATAATATTGTCTTTACCTTCTTCTTCTTAAACAATATTATAGTTTCGAAACGATTTCTTAATGCCACAGGAACTTACCATAAGTCGACTATCGGAACTTGTTACAAAACATTGACAAATAAACGAGTGTAATAATTGTACAACAACACGTACTGCTATAGCATTATTACTATCACGATCTTTTTTTCATTTTTGAGTTTGGTAGAGGGAGTACCAGACTCTTACTGACTAAAAACCACCCCGTTCCTTCTCTTGCTCTTCGAGCCGGAGCCCCGGCAACCAGTTAGGCCTTCCGCGGCTCCGTATCGGGCATCAGCCCTACTGAGCGCCATCTTAGTATCACGGTTAGTGTATGGATAGAGCCTTAGTGTAGGCTATGTGGAAAGCTGAAAGATAACTTGTGTACCTACCATGAAATGCGTAAGAGTAACGCCAGCGTTGCGTTGCGTGAGGCCATGCCTAACAAGAAACAATTTTACGTAATAAATATAGGTACATAAGTATATGAAGTATTTTGTGTTTCTTTTTCCTACCATTCAAAAGTAAAGTAAAGTAATGGAATGTTGTTAAATAGCATATAGAAATATCCAATAGAAACGTATCTTACGAGTTTAAGTGTCGCAGTAAGATTTTGAAAGCTGTGATTGCACGAAATTCCTGGCATCACGAATATTGTTGTTTATTTATTACATGAATATTCATTAAACCATATTGGTGACGTCACAGTGGGTTTTCCGGTTATTTATTTTTTTTCTCAGAAATTACAAAACGAAAAAATTATATTTGAAATCAACATCAAAAAATACACAAACGGTTTTTTTTGTTTCATGCACATATAAAATTTGAAATATTGTCAATTGGGCTATTTATTATCACGACATTTGCAACTTAAAAAATAGTTTTTCTAAATTATTTCCTTTTGTTTTTATTAATAACCAATAATTCTTCTAAATATTATTTGAAGCGCAAAATCTAAGTACCTATCTAACATAACATTTTATATATAAAATTTATAACATAATTGTATTACAAAATATTCACACAAATTCTGGGTAAATGAAAATGTTTATTAACTTGCTACACCATAATGATGCATGAAGTGTAATAAAACCGCCTTTTTCCACGTCCAACCTTAGTTGATGTTTATTATAAAGAAACGATGTTTTAACACTCTGCATTACCGACTAGCGACATCTGTGTGTAAAACGTGAAAACACTGAGTTAGAATTGTACTCTAGCCAGTAAAAGATGGGGAACGTTATTTCCAATTCCTAGTAAATTCTTTTATACAGGGAATATTTTTTTTTCTCTTATTTTATGAATTACTATAATTAATTGACATCGATGAATGTTAAATTAAAAAGGTAGGTACGTGCACCTCTGCCTACCCTCCGGGGATCGTAATGCATGGTGTTATATGCAGTACCTGGGTGCTTACTCTTGAAACCAATCTCAATGTCAATGCAATTTTAATCCAATAAAATCTCAATAATTATTCAATGTCAAAACTATACAACCCCTGTCTTAGCTGTTAAAATAGCATTTAGAGTATAGAATATAAAACTAAACTTAATACCATTTAGTTCATTCAATATCCACGCAATACGGATGCAATGGGCTCTAGTATTGCAACTCAAGAGTACGAAATTTCACAATACCAATGTCGATCGATCGGAATTGGATTCAAGAGTAAGCCCCCAGGGGGCTTACTCTTTATTTCTTTGTTATCTATTTTCACAATAGATAACAAAGAAATAAAGCGTCCATTAAATTGGAAGAATATTACTTTTAAACAAAAAGATGACAAAGGTAATGAAAATAAGTCTAAAAATTCTAAATCTAATCTTGGAAATTAATTTCTATTTTTTTTATTCAAGATATCAAACATATTTTAACTACACAAATGTTTACTTAACTATAACTAAACTATTGAATAAAAAAAAAATAAACAACAAAAAGTATACCCTTAAATTAAAGCGTCAAAGTACTCGTCTCATCACTATCACCGGGGAACGTTCCCAGAAGACTGGCAGGATTTCAAATACGGTACAAATATTATATACATAAATACTAAAATAACAATAAGAATTTAAAATTAAATTGAATGTTTATTATTGCAAGTGGTATGATTATGAACGCATCTTTTCGCTCATGATGTTGGTAGCACTAATTTCGAATTAGTTACAGTAAATTTCTCTAGATGGCAGTAAAATCATGACAACTTCCTTTGCAGTGGAATCTTTTTTCTTCTTTTAATTTCAATTCTATCTTAAGTTTTCTATTTAAATTAATTATTTAGTGAAATATATTGTATAATTTTTATTTAAGTTATTAAATGGCTTTTTATAATTAATAAACTATTTTAACAATTTATCTTCATACGGAAGAGAAACTTGAGTTACGATTTACGCCATCGCGCTGCGTTCAACCAACCAACAAGCATCTGTCTTGGATTCGGATCGATGTTCGGGCCTTTATTGCGAAGAAGCATACTTCAAGGTTCTGCATCGCGAACTTGGAATTGTTTAATTAATTTCACTCAACTACTTTGGTGTAAATTGAAATATATTGGTGAATTGAGGGTAAGTTAAAATAGTTGTGATTTATTATCAACGCGTACTTAGGGCTCCAGTGGAGTCGTAGAGAAACCAACATGGCGCCAGCATGTAAAATGTAAATAACTTGTGACATTTATCGTAATGTCTTTAAGAGCAAGGAAATTAAATATATTTGTATAGTGCGACGTGGTTTTGTACTAGTAATTGCAAACGTAGTATTTTTTTATCACATCGGGCACAATTTTCCGCATAAGTTAATGCAGATACAATACGTTATAGTTGTTGCAGTTGCAAGTGTCGCAGCTGCGATATATTTGGCAAACTAGTATTCTGGAGTCAAGCATTAGTTAGTTAGTCTAAAAATATACCTAGGACATCTTGATTATTAGTATGTTGTTGATATTTAATGAGTTTCAAGGCTAATCAACCGATACCCAAAAATACGTCAATTTGTGATCGATATTATTGTGGCTTATCAGTTATCAAAAGAGGTGTGCTTGAGATACTCTCATTAGGTGTTATTTATTATTATTTTATAGTTGTTGATAAGACACAAATTGTACTGGATATCTTGCTGAAATTTTATCATTTAAACCTTGATTGTCGAAGTATTGCCAGTTCACTATTAGGCTTATTTAGCCAGTTTAACTATAAAACATTAGGCTCTAAATTCAGCTACATCTGTTCTCTACCCATGTAGAACACAGCTTTTGAACTCTAAACTCAGTCATAAACTTTTCTAGAATTATACATTG